GGGGGGGCGTTTAAAAAGCTACCAAACCCTTAGAAAAATTATAAACCACAGCCATTTTCCTTTCAGTGAAAGCAACTATATTTCTCTAATGGCATACGTAAGTGAAGGACATAATCATTGTCTAAGCAACAGAGAGACTTCCAAATGCACAGAAATGAAGGTTTTTTCCTTTATTCATGTTATGTTGTTGAGGTGTAGATACATTTTACACAAACATTTTGCTGCATTAAGTGCTACTAGACTTCGTAATTACAAATTAGAAAACCAGAGTAGGGCCTCTTCTGTGCCTCAGAGGATATGCTTGGGCAAGTACTTATAACTGTAAATAAAGATGAAAGGCTCATGCCATGCATCATTATTTTTAATCAAGTAAAATGTATTTTACTCCACTAAAACTCTCCAGTAATTGAAAGCAAAGACATTTCAGCTGGTCGTTATCTCTTAGGAAGAGAGATGGCGAGGGCTGCTGCCGATGTGTGTAGTCCCACGTGAAAATAACGACTGCAGAGGCTGGAGGGCAGACCTCTGTACTTGCTCAGGGTGTAGGTGACACATAGCAGCCTTATTTTCTCTGATCTGCTGAAAAAAGACAGTTGGGGAAGTTGCAGTCAGCCAGACGCCAGGGGAAGCTACAGGAATGAAGAGGTGTGAAGTGTTAACTTCTTCACCCTGCTAGCTGAATGCGTCAGTCACAAAAATGGTTGGGCTGTAGACTTCAATTCACCCTGCCAGGTACAGGGGAGTAGACTCCTAACCCTCTCCCAGGCTCATGCGCAGTGTGGTGCCACACTAAAACACTAGCCGAGCATGGGAGCATCGCCTCCATTAAACACCTTATTGGAGATGCCAAGAACAAAACCTGTTGTGTTTGTTGGTGTGGTTTGCTCTCCATCACATTGTAGTCTTACAGTGGCCCTTGTTGAAGTAGAAGACACAATAGTAGCAACTGTGGAGTATTTGGAGTCCAGGACGTCTGTCCTGGTCATGGGGGTGAATGGGCGCGTGGGGTACCTGAGCTGCCGGGGCTCTCGGGCATGTCGTTTCGCCCCTGCCAGCCTCCCTCTGCCCACCGCTGAGACAGGCCCGTAGGCTGGTCGTCTGCCTAAGCATAGCATCGCCATGTCCATCTGCACAGCACGTCTCTGTCCTGTGGGTTGAGGTGTTTCTGTTACAGAGTGACAGGAAAAATGTTACCCTGGAAAGGACTGCAGCAGGTCACCTACACCAGCCTCCTGCCCAAAGCCCGGCAAGGTTCAGGATTACCTTAGGGCCGTTCCTCGTTGATAGTTTTAAAAATCTCTAAGGACAGAGATTGCGCGGCCTCTTGGAGTACCTCTCTGCGGGCTTACCTGCTCTCTTGGCAAAGAAACTTGGGTTTGCTACATTTTTTAAACCCTCCCATGAGCAAGTGGGAGACATTAATTAGATCCTCTCCCTGTTACCTCATCTCCAAGCTAAACAAGCCCACCTCGTCTACAGGCTAAACAAGCGTGGTTCCTGCAGCCGTGGTGGCCCTCGGCTGGACTTGCTCCAGTTTGTCACTCCCTCCCGTGTTTGGTGGGCCCAAACCTGGATGCAGAAATCCAGATACGGCCTCACAAGTGCCATGTGGAGGGTGATTTGGGGGCTCAGGGGTGATATCACTGCGCCTCTCAGTTTGTTCACCTCCCAGTGAAACCTCCATTACCCTTCAGTTTGTGGGGTGGGCATTGTGTATCAACGATCAGCCTCCAGGATGCAGCTTGCATCAGTCACTGATGTACAAAACCTGGGGCTGGAAGGAGAAATTGTCTTATACTCAATCACTGTCACGTATTGTGAAGACCTGTCCCGCAGGACGGTGCCCCACCGGTTACACTGCTCTCTGCAACTGTCTTGCCTCTGCTGCATCCCTGGGCCGGGTACGACCCTCTGCGAGAGGAGTGCGGGGGAAAGAGGATAATCAGGGACACAGGCACCCTCGGCAGTACTGCAATACGCTGCTTCCAAAGGCGCTAATTGGAAAACAACCTGGAATAAATGGGCCTGGCAGAAATGGTGGGGAGGAGGAGACTGTCACCCCCTTCCCAGGGAGGCAGCGTCCCCTCGGGGCTCGTTCTAGGAGGGGGGCTCCTTTCTCATGCCTCTGCAGGCTGGAAGGTCGTGGGCTGTTTTCCTCAGAGGTCTTGGCCTTTTCCCCTCAGAAATGAATCTCAAATGCTGTGTAGCAACCCTGACACAATTTTCTAGGTATCGTCTTCCCATATTATTGGCAGGGTCTGGCTTGACCCCTTTTAACTCAGTCAGCTTGGAAAAGGATATATAGAGCACCATACCGAAGCACTTGCACAGCTGCTCTTGCAACATTTCTGGCACTTAGAGCCATCAGCAGAATCTGCCATTTGAACTGAAACTTTCCATGTCTGCTTTTTAGCCTTGGGGTGAATTTTTTACAATTTATAAGTTTAAAGGTAAATCATTCAACCATATTCAAGCTACCAGAATGTGAAGAGAATAGAGGCAAATAGTCTTTTGTGTGAAAATAATTCATAAATTACAAGACACTCTATGAGGAGATACTGGGTTAATTGGAAAGCTGTAATTAACTGCTTAGAAGCAGGATACAGCCCCCCTTGATTTGCATGTATCCCACAGTATGGGAGTCCCCCAGCCAGAGCCCCGCTTGTTCCTCGCTGCTCGGGGAAGTCCAGCAGCCAACTGCTTATATTTTTCTCTCACCTTCTTGAATTTCCTCCTGTGCTTTTTCTTTGTCTGTGCTTACAGGTGCAATGGTGATTGTTCTGTACAATTGGATATTGCATAACAGTAGGGGAATTAGCAGATCTCCCTTTAAGAGTTTGCACCAGCAGGTCATGTTTTGCGTCTAATTGTACTGTGTTCAGAATCTGCTAGATCCAAGACATTTCTTTTCCCCCCCTTTTTTTTCCCCTACTACCTTGTGTCTAAATTGCTGGAAGATTTTTCTAATATAAAGCTTTGTTCTGAGAGGTAATCTCTGTTTGTCCACTTCATATAGAGCCAGTGATTAATGCATGAAGAAAATTATATATATTTTGCTTCTCATACTACTTAGAAACATTGACTGTATTTGCCGGGAAAGTAAAACTGATACTACTTTTTCAATTCTGATTTTCAAATTGGCGCTGAAATACAGAATCAAGGGCCGTTTAGGCTTGAAAAACTTCCAATATTTGCAATATTGAGATCTAATTTTAACCTCTTAATTTATAAAATGGTAGCAACAGGCATGGTGAAGTCCTTGCTGATTCTGCAAAGCCTAGTAGAAAGTCCATGTAGCTGAAGTGAAGGAACGAGTGGGGTTTTGGTTGGGGAGATCCACACGGGTCACCACTGGATTTTGAAAAGGGGAAACTCCCAGTTCACGCATAGAAGGAAGTGGAGAGCCCTGTTTCTTCTTTACAACGAGGCTAAGTGTCACACTTCCATTGTAAAATTTCTGGGAATATCCATTACATTTGTAAATACGGATCTTCTTTCCAACTTGGCTGCTTTCACAGAATCATAGAACAGCCCGGGTTGGAAGGAACATCGAAAGACCATCTGATCCAACCTTTCATGGCAAAGGGAGCCTAGATGAGATTGTCTAGCACCCTGTCCAGTCACATCTTGAAAACCTCCTGTGATGGGGACTCTGTCACATCCATGCAGAGGTTGTTCCAATGAATGATTGTTCTTCACAAGGAGCTACATGGAGATTACAAGGGGCAACGGCTACAAGTTGCGCCAGAAGAGGTTTCATCTCGACATAAGAAAGAAATTAAACCTCCAGCAATGTACATATGCATCCATGTGTGACTTGCACTCCCGTGTTGGACAGATGCATTAGCTAACCATATGCACGTTTAGTTAAAACCTGGCTTAGAAAGCCTATGTTTATTCCAGATCTACTCACTAAGCCATTTCTGAGTAACAGATCAATCCCTGTAAGCTTTGCAAGCTTGCTTAAGTAAGATGTCTAATGGGAATTGGATCCCTTCCCTTCAGTGTGCTCTGTCTTTAATCCTGCCCTTATTACTTGAGACGGGGTGATTTTCCACTCCACTACTTTTTTCTCAGAGTCAGTTACAAACTAGGATGATGTAGGGTCCCACATTTGTGCACAGTGCATGAACCTTGCTTGGATGCTCCCTGGAGATGAGCCCTTCTTAAAAGAGGGGAGTCGCAAATGCATGCGGGAGACAGGGACAGGAGAGCAGGACTAAGTAGCTCTCTTCTGGAGAATGGTTGTTATCCCTGTAGAGACACTATACATTACATAAAGTGGTGTCCTGTTTTTAAGGAGGGGTGGGGAGAAGCAGGCAGCAACCCATCTTGTTCCCCAGCACAGCTAACCCTTTGTGGTAATGTCACGGGAAAACATCTACTTTCTTCACACAGCAGCTCCAGAAGTGCGCCTGTACCTGTGAACTCACGCTGCAGGTGTTTCGTGGTGGCTGGCATGACCTAGAAAGCAGCCAGCTGCGGTGGGTGCCGGGGACCTGCAGCAAGCCCTCCCCGGCGCTCAGGCAGGGAGCAGGGCAGGCAGAGCCGCTCTGCGGGGAAGGGGGAGAAGGGCAGCCCCCAGCCAGGGAAGGTTGTGCCTCTCCTGCCCGCCTTCGGGAAAGGGGTGTTGGTTAGGTCGTACCGAGAGCTGGTGGTTGCTGAAGTGCTTCAGAAATGAAGGTGTGTAGTGATCTTATACATCCTGGCTTCAGCTCGGTGCTCGTGTGAGGTTGTTCCCCAGGCTGTCACTTCTTCAGGGTGCAACTTTCAGAGGAGCCCAAGTGACCTTGGGGCATGAGCTTCTGGAAAAGGCATTAAAAAAAACTCACAACGATCTTTCTGCTCTTTCAATTTAAACAATGTAAGGTTTTCACAGCCTGAAGAATTATTCTTGTTTGTTTTGTCAGTGTCTGCTTTAAATAGTGTTATTTTGGAAGAAGGAAGGTTCATGCACTTTGTATGTCTATTTATGCTTTCTGCATACTACTTCCCGGACTTGTGTGTGGTATTTTAAGCTTGATTACCTCTCAGTGTTGATATGTCTGTGCTGCCTCTCTAAATTCAGCTGATGCCTGTTGGCTTCATTGCATGTTTCCAAAAATACAAACTTCAGAGCAATGGGATTCAACCAAAATAAGTGTTGAAATAGTGGCAGTACACTTAAATACACTGTGCTACAAACAAACAGTGAACACTAAATGTACAGCACTTCTTTCAGCTACTCTGTCTCATCATATACTGGAGGTCTGTCTGTGTGAGTGCTTTCTAACTTGCTCTTTCTGTTTCTTCATGCTTCCCTGGATTCAGAGAGAGGTAAATGATTTTTGTTTTTCCATTACTCTGTGTGTTTATCCTTCCAGCATGCACCAAACAATGCTTGTATTGGTTTGCTTTTATCAGTGAACAGAAGCTAAACTTCAGTGAGTAAATTCATCTCTCTCTGTCACCTTTTCACCTTGCTATTAACAGTATTTGTCAAGTTGAATTGCCTGCTGTTTTTTTTTTCCAGGTCCCAAACCCTCAAGTACTAGAACAGTTTAAAATCATGCAATGCAGTGGGTTTTGATATTTGCTTCTACTGTTTTGAGTTTAAAATGTAGACGTTTTTGTTCTCTGTAATCTGAAATGCAGGAAAGTGGTATTAAAATCCCACCTTTTATTTAAAAAAAATTAAAAACCAGGATGCTAAGAGCAGGGCATTTAAAAGCTAAGTTTAGCAAGAGTTGGAAGCATCGATGTTTATTTCCTATTTTTAGTATTTGTTTCGGATCCGGCTGGGTTGGTCGCTTGTCTTTCGAGTTTGAAGAAAAGTTGTCCCCAGTATGTTTGATTTGTTTGGATGTACAAAGGGATCGTTTGGAATTCTCTACAATGCTTCCTGTTTCATGGGAGCGCAGACAGTAAGGCTTTGTAGTCAGGTGCTTTGCAGCACAAGGGCTGCAGCCACTCCAAAGGCTCGTACTGATGGAATTGCATCCCTCAGATGAGATTTGGGGTTTGTTTGTTCTTATAAATTGTAAGGACTTGAAAGTGGGACTGGACGGAAGGAATGTGGTTTAGAGATGTGGACCGTTCCTCGCATTCGCTTTGTGGAATATAATGAGAACGATTTCTAGGCTTGACTGATTTTTAATCAATTCTTTAGGCAGTGTTGGCCTAGGGAAATGTTTGAACTTTCTTGATTATGGCTTTGCAATCTAATGTAGATTTCATGCACGTGGGAAGTGATGATCCTCCCAGACTAACACTGGCAAAACTGTGCTGCAAGCAGATTCGTGGGTAGTGTCTGTGTGCGATTGCAGTGTTCTCTGAATAATAAAGAACAAAGGAGATCTAGTAAGGATTGCTTATAAAATAAATCACACTGGAGAGATTAACTGTTCTAGTATAGTCTGCTGTCGTCTTCAGTTAAATCTGTAGTAGTGCTTTGAGCATCTCAACTTGATATATTTCTTTATTAAACCTTTAAATATTCCTTATAAACAAAGGCCCACATCTTTCAATTAGATCTGGAAGATAGAAGCATTGTCAAAAATAGCTAAATACATATTTGTCAAAATCAAATTTACAGGATCTGCTGCAAAGAGGCTGTTCAGAAGTTCACAGGCATAATGACACATTCATTTACTTAAAGGAAGTTCAGCATTCATCAAAAATGCTAGACTGGCCGTCCTGAGGAGTTAAATCACTTTGTGATGCTACGAAGGAGAAGCAGCAACTGCAATGGCCTTGACAACCTACCTCATTTGTGTGCCTTTGCCTTGAAAACTGTGCTGTGCAGGGTAGGAAGGCAGCCCCCTGCCTGCGCATGTTTCATAAATGCTGTGAAGCAATTAAGGAAAAAAAAAAGTCACCATGAAAAACTTGTGGCAATAAAGTCAGTGGTCAGTGATTTTCATAGGCTCTGCCCCTGAAGTTCTGTCTTCCTTTAAGTTCATTTATAAAACAAGCTGAGGTCTAACCTGCTGCTTGACTTTTCAACTTGCTGCATCTGGCTAACAGTTGGTGAGCAGCAGTAAGCCTCATCTGCCCCCAAGCACCAGCTGAACGTGGCACACTGGTAACTGGGGTCCCCTCGTGCTGCTGGCGTGCGGTGAGGAGTCCTGTATGTTCTGACGGAGGTGGCCTGTGCCCCTGGGACCCTCTCTCCAGTGCCCTGTCAGCGCTACAAGATGCAGTCTCCAGGGCAGTCTTGGTGGTGACCACGGCACAAGTGATCATGAGGTGAGGTTGGGCAGAAGGACCAGCATGGAACGTAAATTGTAGGTGTACAGTCTGTACTGTTTTCACTGTGTTAACACAGCTCACGGATCTGGAGAGCTTAGATACTGAATTGCACTTTGACATGGCTCCATCTATGTAAATCTGTGGCCCTTTGCAGGGGTGGAATATAGCCCTTGGTAGTAGAAAGGGAAATGATTTGTAACATCTCACAGCCACCTTCCTGGCAAGCAAGGCAGCAGTGGCAAGGCTGACGGGAGTCCTGTCCCCTCCCTACAAGAGGAGGTGGGCAGCATTGAGATGTGGGAAGCGCATCTTGGGGAATGGCTTCTGTGGCTTCATGAGGATCAGGCCGCAGGAAGGAAATTGGAGTGAAAGTCGTGCAAATGCTTTCAGGCTTGGAAGCGCTGGGCTCTGAAGGGCTGAGCTGGGTATCGGACGTATCAGCTCTGTGAGGGTTTTAACAAATTTTGGAAGCATGCAGAACTGTGGCCATGATAAGACATCAAAGAAAAACCGGCAGGCTGTATGTTTTAGGGCTGCCAGATTAAAGCCTCCGAGTATCGCACAAAGTAGCCATAGCTCCTCCTTGAGAGTTAGCAAGTGACGTTATCAAGGAATGAAGCAAACAGCCTTTCAGCAGGGGATAATTTGCCCTACAAACGTTATGCATGAATAAGAAAAACAAGCTATGCTGTGTCAATGCCAGACCATTTGAGGAGAATTCAATAAATGCAGAACTGATGTGTTGCTGCAAGGAAACCCATTTTCAAGTTGTGTGAGAATTGAAATAAGAAAAGTCTCCCAAAAGTCTCTGCTTGGGAGGACATCTTAACTACTTGGATCAAAAATTAATGACCAGAGTAATGTAGTGGTGGCCAAGTCTGCCATTCTGAGTTGTAACTGGGGAGCAGCCAAAGAGGTGCAGAAGCTCTGTGGGGTGGAGCACTTGGAACGGAAAAAAATTGCAAGGCTTTCGTACGTTTTTAGGATTGCCAGCAACTGTCAGAAACGTAGGGAAAATTCATTCTCTCCCACATCTCTTCCAACTCGAATCATTGAGGAGAGAGAAGTACATGTGGTTAAATGCACCGTGACTGTCTGGGGGAAACGGGAAGGAGAAGACTCATGGGAGTAGTCATTTTTCTTCCTCCTCCTGCAGGATTTGATTCCAAAGTGGTTGGTGTAGTCACCTGGAGAAGGCTTCCTTTAGAGGGTGTGGAAGGGAAGCAGTGGTTTCATTCAGTGTCTGTCTGGTATCTGGTAGGTGAAATGGAAGTTGAAAGGTCCTCAGTAAATCTTCTACAAACAGATTTTGCAGCTTGTGTGAATCCTGTTTATTTTTTCTAGTTCTGGTTTCTTACCTTTGGGTTTTTCTCCCTAACTTCTCAAACTCCGTGACGGGAGCCTAATAAAAAGACAAGTGAACTGAACAGAGTCCCAGACTTCATTTCAGCTCTAAATCAGTCCCCTTCCTCCTATGTGAAAGAGTAGTCTTGTTAAAAGATTTAAAATGTTAATCCAGAAGATCTGTAGTTTTTGTCATAAATATTACTGCAGGATTTCTTGCACCTCATCTTCTCTGCTGTTTGTGATCCTAGAATATTTGCGTGTCATAGAAAAACCACATCAGAGCATGGTCTTGTTAGTGTTATATTTATTTGCTTTTCTTCTCATGTGTTTCCTCTCACTTGCCTTGCTCTTCTCCTTCTCTGCTTATTTACTCTGCACCCATGAACATTCATGTCTGACTGGTGAATAGCAGCCTACCGCCGGGTGCCTTTTGACCCTGCTGTGCTGTAGCTGTGGCTGCTCTCCCCTTTTTTCTTCCTGCTTTCACAAATCACTGGTCAATTGTTTGCAGGAAAGCAAAGTGAAGCCTGAAGGTTATAGACTCAGCAGACTTTTTCCCCACAGCCCGGCGGTGTGTGCTCTGTGACCCTGCAGTCGCAGGAGTCTGTACACCAGTACATAGAAATCAACATTCATCTTCTGTAGGCTATTCTGGATGAATTTCAATCAATTTTAAGCCAAGCCCAGAGGATATCATTTTCTGGTTCAAGGATTCTTGTTACAGTTTGTAATACATAAATCTGTAAAGCAATTTACATTTTCCTGCATGTGTATCATTTTAATATAGTTGTTTTAAATAGTGGCAATTTAATTTTGATTGATAAGAGTCAAAATTTTTATTTCAGACTTCAAGGCTAGGGTGTTGGGTTTTTTTAACAAAAAAAAAAAAAAAAAGGATTAATGCAGTTCTACACTCCTTTGAAGAAATAAGTTTATAGTGAGAAGGTAATGGAGGATGTGCTGCCCTTCCTGGCTGTACCTAATTGGGACATCTCCTAGGACTTTAGCCTAATAGTGGCAAATGGCTATGACTGCTACTCAAACAGGACAGCATTAGCATAAATTGCATTTAATGTGATTATATTAATCCCAGGCTGAGCAGCTAAGTGATGCTTAGCCAGGTGTTAAATAGGTATGGTATCTAAGGTTTAGTCAATTACTGTAGACATTTGCCAATTAAAGAGGGCAAAAGAGCAAACAAAAATGGAATTCCTTTCTACTTAACACCTTACATTGTCTTTGCAATTCTCTAAATTGCTTTTTAAAATGTCCCTCTCTAGTCATGTATTCTTTCAAAATAAAAAAATTTCTACTGAATTTTTAACTGTTCAGCAGAACCAGTCTTTCCCACTTGTGCAGGAAAATAATTTTCTTACCTATTTTTTTGGTCTTCTAGCTTTTTTCCAGAATACTGATTTATATCCAGTTCCTATAACCGGAAAGATCCTAGTGGATCATGTAGTACGTGCGCAAATGATTTAAAAAAAAAATTACCTACTATGCAGTACCCCTTCTCTATAATCCCATATCAACAGAAGTGGTGCGCTTGTGTTATAAAGTTTTAAGAATATACAGCTTTTTTTTTGCAACGAAATACATTATTCTCCCACTAACCACCTTGCTGCTCTCCCCACTGACATGGAAGGGAATTTCACCAGGAGCTGTGGTTCAAATCCCACAGATGTCATGTGCACGCACACCCTGTTGAGACAGAGAAGACTCCAACTGGATGAGATGTG